CCTTGAATGCCATGCGCAACTATATCATATTTTACAATAACAGTTATAAACTACGTTTAACTTGAACTTCCTGAAATAAAATGAAAAAAGTTTTATTCCTCTTATTTAAAGTCGAATAATTAATACTCTAAATACTTATGAACACCACATCAAAGTCGGTTCAGCCAATCACGAGATATTCCCGCACATACACCCATACATACATACAGGTCCAACAGAGTTTCTTTTTTTTTGAACTCGGTTAAAAACTTTGAGCACCACTAGTCCCGCGACAACATCCCGGGGCCGTGACAGTCCCGGATTCCGGGAATGTAACATTATTACACGTTGCCCAGGTATTTATATTTGTTTCAACCCCTACACGAGGCAAGGGGTGACCTGCTACCGTAGTATTTTTGTATTGTTTTGTCCATTTGAAGAAAATGTGTTTTGTTTTATATGAATTTTGTTTATTTATTTATTTATTTGAAGGAGTACGGCCGCATCACGAACATATAACATTCAAAATACACAATTGTAACAAAATAAAGGTCTGATGCATGCGACAATAATGTCGTACATAGCTTTGGCAATTCATAGGCTTAACAATGGCTTAAAAATAAAATCCAATTTGAGAATTATGGAAAAAAGAAAATAACAACAATAATCCACACCATACATATATAAAAATGAGAATTTAACAAGTTCAATCTTATACTCTTATCTACACTAATATTATTAAGCTGAAGAGTTTGTTTGTTTGAACGCGCTAATCTCCGTAACCACAAGTCTGATTTGAATAATTCTTTTTGTGTTGAATAGTGCATTTATCAAGGATGGCTATAGGCTATAAAACATCACGCTACGACCAATAGGAGCTGAGCAAAGCGTGTAAAATATATATTTTTTTATAAGAGCAGTTCGTTGGTCGTGTAATTGTATATTTATTTATGTATTTCTTCGTCACAAAAATTACAGTGAATATAGAACTTTATAACGTAAGGCATTCTCTGACAGTCAACCAAAGTATAGTGAGTATGACTGCTGAGTGCTGGGCAAAGAAGTTTAGGGTTCTATTTTAGAGTCTAGAAAATATAAATTAGTTTTTTTTTCACACAGAGTCTAGAGTAACATGCCTGGTATATTCATAATAAGTTCAATGAAAAGAGAGAGAATTGATAACCTTTTCAATTACTATAATAATCGAATCCTGACACACTTATAAAAAGGTATAAAATTAGTACCTTGATTTGACTGACTCGGGACTCGGGACCCGATTCTAAAATTCGACCCAAACGCCCAATGTTGAGAACCACTCCCTTACATGGCGATATTAAACATCTTCGTAATAAAACTGGAAGAATTTTATTGTTAGAAGCGACTCCGTGTATATTGTCGGTACATTTCAATAATATACTGACATACATTTCTTATTTTATTATATCTAAAATGTAAATATATGCAGAGTAGAATACATTTTATCAACCACCGCTACTCTTGCCGCGGGTGTCGTATACCCGGTTAGGGGATTGTGAGACTGTGCAGTAGTGGTCTATGATAAACCTGAACCTTTTAGCAATGTCTGCCAAGCGAGGAGATAACAACAGAAATGGAGGTTCATGTAGATCAGCAATCCGTGTTTTTTTTTTATTTTCACTAGCGATCGGCCCCGGCTTCGCACGGGTGCAATATGCATGTATTAAACATATATGTATTGTACCTTCCTTAAGAATCACTCTATCTATTAAAAACCGCATCTAAATCCGTTGCGTAGTTTTAAAGATCTAAGCATACATAGGGATTTTTGTTTTCAATGGGGAAAATCATCGAATGACTGCTCCGGCCTGGGTGAGGCGGGAGGGAGTGTCAGACTCTTACTGACTAAAAAGCATTCCGTTCCTTCTCCTGCACGTCGAGCCGGAGCCCCGGTTACCCGTTAGGTTCTCCGCGACAAGCATACATTGGGACAGACAGACGGCGGATAGCGACTTTGTTTTATACTATGTATTGATAACAAGACGAAGAAAAAGAAAGACGATCACTAAAAATGTATTGTTTATTTTCAATTACCCAACCCGGTAATCGAACGTAAAACACTACACAACCACTGCACCAAAATAACTTTGAAATTCAATGAAACGTTTCAATATTGCACCTTGTTCCAAACTCCGGCCGAGTCTAACTTCATTGTGCAGCCTAACTGTTATAATAGGACGATCAACTATTTGCTGCATGCGGCTTCACTTGTGTTAAGTTCATTTATTAAAAACCTAAAATTAAAATACGGTTTTAATCACATTCTTCATCCTGGTTACCAGGAGAATTGGACATATCTAATGACCCCAAACTGGATCACTACATAGTATAAAACAAAGTCGCTATCCGCCGTCTGTCTGTCCCTATGTATGCTTAGATCTTAAAAACTACGCAACGGATTTTGATGCGGTTTTTTTTACTAGATAGAGTGATTCTTAAGGAAGGTTTATATGTAGAATACATGCATATTGCACCCGTGCGAAGCTGGGGCGGGTCGCTAGTATGTTTATATATGCAGTCCAAGGTAGTATCGCATCATCAGTCTATAAGTGTCTACTGCTGACCAAATGGGGGGGAGGGGTAATTGGGCCTCCGGTAACCTCACTCACACAACACAAGTATTGTTTCACGTCGGTCTTCTGCTCGGCCGTGGTATCACTCCGGTCGACCCGGCACATTTATGTCGAAGCATTGCTCTCCCACACTTACAGTCTAATCTAAGACATTACGCTACGATAAATAGGAGCTGAGCAGAGGGCGAAACCGCGCGGTATTAGCTAGTTTACTATAAATATAAGCAGAAACACATAGAATGCCTTGTAGTCCGCTATCCTTACTAATAATATTATAAATCGGAAAGTGAGTTTGTTTGTTCCGCTTTCGCGCCGTAAAGACGTAAAGTTAGAAGTCTGGATTAAATAATAGGGTATTTTTTATCCCGGAAATATTTGATATTCTCGAGGAAAAACGAAATCATTGGTATAGATGGCGCTGTGTGTATATGTCACATAGGCTACTTTTTATCCTTTTGTGACGCGAGCGAAACCGCGGGTAAAAGCTAGTATTACAATATATCTACAGTGTAGAGAGAATGAACAAACTTAGACTGTGTTAACTTCGTCTGACTACAGTTTCCAATATACTTGTGTTAGAGGGGTAGGCAGAGAGCTTACGTGTTAATGTTATTATACATATTATACAGGGTGTATATGGCTGCCTCGCTGTCCGAGCGATCGCAAGTGCGACTACCGGGCAAGGGGTCTCGGGTTTGATTTCCGGGTCGGGCAAAGTATTACTGGGATTTTCAAAAAAATCTCAGTACTAGCACGGAGTCTGGAATTGTGCCCGGTAAATGGCAACAGGCTTATCAGTTATCAGTCCCATGTAATAGGGGGTGCTATTACATGGGACTCATAACATAAATAGTGAAAAGTGTGTGTTACATTGTACAGTGGCATTAAGTGCCGTAATGAATACCTCTGCTTACCCTTTCGGGGACAAAAGGCGTGATGTAATGTCTATGTGTATACGGAACGGTCCCGAAAACTACCGACAGATGATGGTATATACAACTTGTATTTTTATAAAAGGAAGGAATTAAATATTTCTTTAATGTAATCATAGTTGTAATCAACTGTTCAAGGCTATTGCATGAATCAAAAGTCTCATAGCCATCACCAAACCAACAGTAACAGTTAAAGAAATAAAATAAATTCACAACATACATAAAAACTACACTGCTACGCCATTTGTATTATTATTATTACCGGTTTATTCCGGCGCGATCCGCTTCAATCCGACTGTATCCGCTTTCGGCCGGATTTAACGGGATATATGCATAAACTGTTATATGCGAAACTTCGATATTTTTGATGTTTCAAGTTTTTGCGGATCAAATATTATGTTTAATAAAATAATACTTCGTAGGTATTGTATAAAAGGGTAAAAATACTGTTTTTTATAGTAATCGTGAGACATACTAAATTAACTAAAATCGCGGATTACTCACGTGAATATACTGAGAAAAGCTCTACTAGTTTCGAACCACAGAGCGGTTCTTCTTGCGGACGGCGAGCATGCGGACGGCGAGCACGGGTGACTCGCCGCCCGACCAGAACCAGACCCGAGCGTACGGCGCGTCGCGTTCCGCGCGAGCCATCAGACCACCACAGATGGGGCCTAACAGGGCTGATGCCGATACAGAGCCGCGGAAGACTTAACGGGTTGCCGGGGCTCCGCCCGGCTCGAAGTGCAGGAGTAGAAACGGGGTGTTTTTTAGTCAGTAAGAGTCTGACACTCCCTCCCGCCTCACCCGGGCGGGAGAAGTCATTGGATGATTTTCCCGCCTCAAAAAAAAAAAAAAGATGGGTTCTTCTACTCAGCTCACTGACGCACCCGTGATTTTAGTTAATTTATTAAAAATAATGTTACACATGGTCTAAAATAGCTTGTTAAAATGCGTTGTATTGAGTATGCTAAAAAGTATTTAAAAAGCAAACGCCTGTCGATCCGCAAGCATGCCTGGAATGACATAATTTTGAACAACATTCCGACATTATGCTACTTAAGTGACTAGTGCTCAATTGAAGCATGCTTCCGTGATTGAAATTAGCATCTGTTACAGTACCTTAACTATTCTGTTTCTTACTCGTTCTTCTACATAGGAATGTACACTTCGGAGCGAGCAAATAGAGTAACTAGAGGACTGACTTACCGACTGACATTTTTATTCTTTGGTTTTGCACAGGTGCAATATGCGTGTGTTATACATATAAACCTTTCTTAAGAATCACTCTACCTATTAAAAAAACTGCATCAAAATCCGTTGCGTAGTTTTAAAGATCTAAGCATACATAGGGACAGACAGACGGCGGACAGCGAATTTGTTTTATACTATGTAGTGATAATAGTGATATTCTTAGATGGATGGCCAGCAATGACAATTCCTTTGTATGGGTCTAATAGAATTCCTCTCATCTTTCCAGGCCAGGATGTGGACATCACCCCTCGTGAGGCAGTACGAAGGATCGGAGACCAGCTCAGTGTGCTATGCAAAGTGCCATACCCCATCGACTCCTGCAGGTCAGTAGCAGAATGGTTCTTAATAATAAGTCTTTAAGGTGCCATGTTCTTGAATTCTGGGAAGGTTTTCATGCCTGATAGTTTGTTGTTCTTACTATGAAGTACGGTTTCCGTAGTGGCTGGATGTCAAACTGCTCTGTCGGAAATGTCTTTTTTTATGGGATGAGCAGACGGATCACCTGATGGTAAGCAATCGGCGTCGCTCATAGACACTTGGAACACCAGAGGCGTTACAAGTGCCTTACCGGCCTTTTGGGATTAGAGAAGGATGGTAGAAGGGGTAATCAGGCCTCCGGTAACCTCACTCACACGACGAAACACAACGCAAGCGTTGCTTCACGTCGGTTTTCTGCTCGTTGGTGGTACCACTCCGGTCGAGCCGGCCCATTTGTGCCGAAGCATGGCTCTCCCACAGTTATAACCGTCTGTTTGATGTGCACAATTATGCACATCGGTGTGTGCAGTATGCGTTTGTGAATGGACTCACGATAGAGGTACAGAAAATCCTAATGAACTAAAGGTTTTTTATGAGAAAAATCTGATTCATGAACTAAGCTAGACTTAGGTACTTGCCAACTAGTCTTTAATACTTTTTTCGAACTGTCAAAAACGACAGTTTTCTATGAATTTTGGGCGAGATTATGTATTGTGACGTCACGTTTTTTTAGCGTCAAACAGCGTAGTTATTGCTTAAATATTTGCTGGAAAAATACTAACATTAAGTTGGTCATAAAATCAATTAATGAAAGCGTGATTATTTTTTAATATTTTATTGTATTGAACAGTCGAAACAATTTATTTTTGATTTAGGCAAGTATCCGGTTATGTGTGCGTAAAGGCTCCTAATAGGGTTTCAAACTAATCGAGTATCCCCGTAATATAAGGAGTAACTGAATATTTTCCCGTTTTAGTTAATATAACAATATGTACCATATTAATTAATGAATTGTTTTCTTTGTGTTCCAGGATGACAGTAGGGACCACCTCCTACCGGCTGATACCTGAAAATCTGCAAGGAGATGTGGTCTACACCGGCCAGGGCTTGAAGGTAAGCATCATCATCATTATAATCAACAATAGCCTGTGACATGACAGTCCATTGGTGGACTATCAGCCTCCTCTACAAAAGAAAGGTTTCTCATAATCACCACACTTGCCAATCGGATTGGAGATTGCATTTTAAAAGTATTTCTTATCAGAGAATGCCGTTACTTAGTTGCTGTTATGCGTCTGATGACGATAGAGTAGAATGCATTTATCTCCACCCCAACTCTTCTCGTGGGTGTGGTACACCCGAATAAGGGACTATAAATTTGACAAAGACAAGGTAGAAGCGTTCTCTGATAAAACTAAGAGCTCCAATACGAACCATGTGTGGAGATTATGACAAACCCTCTCATCATCAGAAGAGGTCCATAGTTTATGGAGTTTCTTGCTCGTTCTTCTCCATTCGAATCTCCATTTTGGAACGAGCACCTAGCTTCACTGACTATTATTTATTTACTAGCTACTTCCGCGCGGTTTCACCCGCTGTGCTCGGCGCCTATAAATCGTAGCGTGATGTTTTATAGCCTATAGCCTTCCTCGATAAATGGGCTATCCAACACAGAAATATTTTTTCAAATCGGACCAGTAGTTTCGGAGATTAGCGCGTTCAAACAAACAAAAAAACAAACTCTTCAGCTTTATAATATTAAGTATAGATTTATTGGGCTCCTAACAAAAGATACACTTACATGCTAAAAAATAATCCACTAGATATTACAATAACCTTATGATCCTTGCATTGCCATTCAACGTGGCAGCATTGCCACGTTGAATGGCAATGCTTAACCTTTGCCCAAGGTAGTAGCCAGCCCTTCGATCACCCGAAGTGTCAACCATCCTCCTTACAATATCTTTGTAAAGAAGATGTGCACTTGGGCCCACGGCCCTAAAGTTTCAATATTATATTATTAGATAGATAACTATGTATTTTCAAAATTGACGTAACAATTTCATTTGTTATCGCTGAAATTCAGTACAAGTTCATACTTGTTCTAAAATAGTTATCTTTTGTTTTTACCTTATGTATGTATGTATGTCAAGTAATTAAATTGTAAATTAACGTTTTTGATAATTGCCCTAATTCGGTAGGTACCAATGCGGGTTTTTCAAAGTCAACTACTTTTTTCTATAGGTACAGATACATACAATTATAGTTTATGTTTGTAATATTAAAATAACAGTTTTTACTACATCGATGTGAATACAGTGAAACTTTGTTAAGTGGGACCTGGATAAGTGAGAAACCTCTATAACTGAAACTCAATCTGAGGTCCCAACAACGTAAACCTCTATATCTGGGATTTATTCTTTCGATTTATCATCATAGTTACCTCTATAACCGAGACAGCGAGTACATTTTATATGCATAAACCTCTGTAACCGAGATGACATTGTTTGTTTACTCATTCTTATTCTACCCACAAATTCCACACGTAATTCCAAGTCCACCTCTATTAATGGAACCCTCTGTAAATGAGACAGATATTTATTTATACCTGTATATCTGAGACACTGGGTAAGTGGAATACCTCTATAAGTGAAACGACATTACAGGTCCCTTGATGTCTCACTTAACCAGGTTTCACTGTATATACATACGATACATATACCAAAATAACATTTTTTACATTTTTTGTACATCTGTTTGTTTGTTTGTATTGGCTAATCTCTGGAATGGCTGGACCGATATTGCAAGACTTTTATACGCAGGTAGCTGATGTACTAAGGAGTAACATAGGCTACTTTTATTTTCGGAAATTGAAACAAAAATCGTTATTTTCTAAAATTCCTATTTTACGCGGACGTAGTCGCGGGCAAAAGCTACTTAATAAATAAAATTAGGTAATTTGTTGTGTAGAATTCTGAATATAATTGCATGTTTGAACATAATATATTTTTCTAAACATACCTTAACATCACGCGTTTTTATCCCCGAAGGGGTAGGCAGAGGTGCACATTATACGGCACTTAATGCATCCACTTTTTATTATTTATGTTATGAGTCCCATGTAATAGGGGGTGAGCCTATTGCCATATACCGGGCACAATTCCATACTCCGTGCTACTACTGAGAATTTTTTAAAAACCCACCAATATTTCGTCCGACCTAGCTTCACCTAGCTTCACTGACGGACTGACTGACAGATTATTACTTATTATGTATTTATTGACGTCTCAAAAGTACCAAATTATGGTTTTAATGAAATAAATGCTTTGACTTTGACTTTGACCCGGGAATCGAACCCTCGACCCTTTGCCCGGCAGTTGCACTTGCGACCACTCGGCCAACGAGGCAGTCTATTAGTAAGATAAGTTTATAAAATAAAGAAATTAATACAATTCTTTTCCCACAGGCTGGTCAATGCGGTGCCCTAATAAAGAACATCAAGGAGGAATGGAATGGAAACATTACGTGTGTTCTCCCACCCCCCTCAGGAAACATCGAGCTGGTCGGCTCCATGAGACTGCTGGTCGCAAGTGAGTGTACAATCTTCCTAATTTAATCGACTCCTGTGCATCAGGATCTACAGTAGATACAACCATGCAAACACCGGAACACTGAAGTCTAACGTCCCAGGGGCATGAACAACTGTGGTAATATGGTTCTGACTGCATGGGTAGTGCGGTGGCTGGGCAACCGGTTGCCGTGCAACGTGTCGAGGGTTCGATTCCCGCACGGAACAACACTTTGTGTGATCTACAAATTATTGTTTCGGGTCTGGGTGTCATTGTGTATGTGAACTTGTATGTGTGTAAACGTACCCACGACACAGGAGGAAATCCTAATGAGAATAGCGTTATTTAACTCTTTGAGTACCGTCATTATAGACACAATTATAGAACAATAGGTTGCGGTCACCGGTGACGGCTCGGTGTTTGACAGTTTAAAAAAAAAAGGGAAGGTCTAATTTCCTCTAACAACCGGACTGGCAGACGGATCAACTGATGGTAAGCAATCAGCGTCGTCCATTGACACCAGCAACACTAGAGGAGTTACCACTGCGTTGCTGGCCTTTTGGGGTATTAGGAAGGGCATTCGGTGGTAATCCCACTCATAAGCCGAAACACAACGCATTGTTAACCAATTGTCGGAGAATATAGGAGATTCAGGGATCAATTTTAGGGATTGGGAAATCGTTATGTCACTTGGGTTCAATGCGAGAACATGGTGTATCACCACCACCCCTACTCCTCCCGCGAGTGTCGTATACCCGACTAGGGGACTACATTTGACAGAGACCGGGCAGCAGCGCTCTCTGATGACGAGACGTCTTTAACTCGTCGAGTACCGTCATTATAGACACAATTATAGAACAATAGGTTGCGGTCACCGGTGTCCGCTTGGTGTTTGACAGTTTAAACGAGGAGATTATCGCCAACCGCCTCTTTATGTAGAGGACGCTCATCGTCGAGCAGTGGACTATCACCTGCTGTTGAAGATATTGAATATGTTTCTTCATGTTTCTAGGAGCCCCTGGTGAGATCCAGCTGAACTCTTCGCCGCAGCCACCCTTCAAGGAAGGAGATACGTTCATGGCGCAGTGTGTGGTCCCCAATGGAAGACCAGCTGCCAAGATCACCTGGTTCTTGGGTAAGTAGACAACACAATATTAATTACTAGCGACCCGCCCCGGCTTCGCACGGGTGCAATATGCATGTATTATACATACAAACCTTCCTTAAGAATCACTCTATCTATTAAAAAAAACCGCATCAAAATCCGTTGCATAGTTTTAAAGATCTAAGCATACATACGGACATACAGCGAAAGCGACTTTGTTTTATACTATGTATTGATGACTGACTGACTGCCTCGTTGGCCGAGTGGTCGCAAGTGCAACTGCCGGGCAAAAGGTCTCGAGTTCGATTCCCGGGGCAGGCCAAATATTAATGGGTTTAAAAAAATCTTAGTAATATCACGGAGTCTGGAATTGTGCCCGGTATATGGCAATAGACTTACTTGAATTACATGGGACTCATAAAATAAATAGTGAAAAGTAGGTGTTACATTGAGTGCTGTAATGTGCCTACCACTTCGGAGGCGGCGAAAAGAGGCGTGATTTTATATCGTTTATTTTTAAAATGGTTTTATTGAGCTTGCCTCGTTTGATTGTTTTTGTCTTTAGTAATTGTAATTTCACTCCCTTCCTGACGACAGATCGATCTGATATTTGGTACACACTTTTAATCTTGATGACCATCCTTATTATCCTTACTAATATTATAAATCGGAAAGTGAGTTTGTTTGTTTGTTTGTTCCGATTTCACGCCGTAACTACTAAACCGATTGCTTAATTTTTACAGACGTAAAGTTAGAAGTCCGGATTAAATAATAGGGTACTTTTTATCCTGGAAAAATGTGATATTCCCGAGGGAAAACAAATGTATTGATATAGATGGCGCTGTGTGTATTGGTATATGTCAAATAGGCTACTTTTTATCCTTTTGTGACGCGAGCGAAGCCGCGGGTAAAAGATAGTACAATATAATCTAATTGTGTCCACAACTACCTCCATTATTGATATTAAACGAAAGGGCTTCATTGGTAGAATAGAGCTCAATGAAACTGTTTAATTTAAAACATAATTTTTATGTATATTTCTTTATCAGGATCGGAAGAACTCCTCCACGGCACCCATCAGCCTGTCATAACATCAGAACCAGGATCTGACCTGAAGACTATCAGTCAGAATGTCACTAGGACCCTAACTGATGAGGACGATGCTAAGTTCCTGGTCTGCAGAGCTGAACACGAAGCTTTGGAGAAGCCTAAGGAATTCAGGATCCAACTCAATGTTAATTGTAAGTAGAAATTCTCTCAAAACTGCTGCAACTCCTGCGGACCAGGATCTACAGTAGATACAACCATGCAAACACTGGAACACTGAAGTCTAACGTCCCAGGGACATGAATAACTGTCTTAGATCCCGCAACGAAGTGAATCAGAAGATATTAATGTCACTGCTCCTACTCTTCCCGCGGGTGTTGTAAACCCGAATACGGAACAACAATGGTTAACAGGGACTAGGCAGTAACGGTTTTAAAATGTTTTTTTATGGCATACATAAGCCGGTAAACGAGCAGACGGATCACCTGATGGTAAGCAATCGGCGTCGCCCATGGACACCTGGAACACCAGATGCGTTACAAGTGCGTCACCTGCTTTTTGGGGATTAGGAGTTTGAGGATCGTTGGGGATTCAGGGATTGGGGAGATTGGGGAAGGGGAAGGTAATTGGGCGCCTCCGGTAACCTCACTCACACGACGAAACACTACGTAAGCGTTGCTTCACGTCGGTTTTCTGTGAGGCCGTTGTGATCTCAAACTCGCTTGCCATGCGTGGAGATTTTGGCAACCCCTTTCTTAGTAGACGAGGCACATAGTCCAGCAGTGGACTCTGTCTTTCATGGGCTGATAATTCAATAATGACTGCCTCGTTGGTCGAGTAGTCGGGCAAAGCAATACTGGGTTTTTAAAAAATCTCAGTAGTAGCACGGAGTCTGGAATTGTGTCCGGTATATGGCAATAGGCTCACCCCCCTTTTACATGGGACTCATAACATAAATAGTGAAAAGTGGGTGTTACATTGTACAGTGGCATAATGTACACCTCTGCCTACCCCTTCGGGGATAAAAGGCGTGATGTTATGTTATATGTTATAATTCAATAATGATGATATATTTGTCACCACCTCATCTCTTTCTGTGGGTGTCGTATACCTTAAAGTAATTATAATCCAATTTTTCTCCTATTTTAGACGCTCCAAAACGCCAAGAGACTGGCACAGTCACAATCTTTGGCCTCAAACTGGGAGCTGAAGGCAAGCTGAATGTGACTGTGAAGGCTAACCCCCCACCGACGGCTGAGTGGAGCATCGGAGACCAGGTCCTGCAGGCACCTAGGCAGAGCGAGAATGGAGAGATTATCGCACAGGCTCCCTTGTTTTTGGTAAGTGATATTGTATTAGAATCTTATATCTTTTTGATTATATAATCAAAACTTACGATAATCAATAAAAACTATATATTATCATGAAATTAAGTACCTACTTGATTACTTGAAAACTATATTTTAAGTAATCATCATTTTATTTCATTTATAATTTTAAATATATTTATAGAACTTAAAATATAACTAACGAAAAACTGAAATATTTACCTTAAAAAAGTAATAATAATAAAAATGCCATCTTAAGGCATAAAAAAATTTTTCCTCATCGCTATCGTGACGAACATATAACATTAACTTCAATAGTAGGAGTGTAGGTATCATTTAAAATAATATTTTCAGATATTGATGTGTAATAAATAAATACTTTATATTGACATTTCCAAAATAAAACAGCTAGTCAGAAACTACTCTATAGTCTTCATCTCATATCAAAAACACAGATTCACACTCAACCATCCTCTTTCCCCAGGGCAACGGCTACTTCAACATCACTCTCATCCTGGCTCGCATCACGAAGGAAGACGTAGACAGGACATACTTCCTACGAGTCATGAACGACTTTGGAAGGGAGGAGATTGCAGTCAGGATCAGCACCATGGACGAACCAGCTGGTAAGTAATGAGGGAATCGGAATTAGAGGACGAGGAGGAATGATGACGTGGTATAAAAATTAAAACTCTTATCGAATCCATCAGTTAGGTAATGAAAAAATATCAGACACGTATTTTTTATTTTGTCGTATAAGAAAACAATACTTAGATAAAACGAATCAAAGTTTAGGAGTGGGAGCTAGCTACGTCATTTCTACGTATAAAATGTACATAGAAGTGACGTCACGCGACATTTCAAATAAATATATCGTCGAAAGAATTTTTTCTGTAAGAAAATAAAAAATACGTGTCTAATGTTTTAAAATAATTTACCAGGCGGACATTAAAATAAAAAATAGTCATCTACCCTATTGGGGACAGATAGACCGCAGTTTCGGAGGAGTTTAAGGTCAGGGGATAAAAAATATGGTCTGCAGTTTCAAAGATTTTAGGGGCTTGAAAGTCCACAGTTTGGGGAGTATTTTATATAATTTAACAACTTGGGAATAAAGTTGATTAAAAAAAGGATTGTGAACTTGGAAAAATGAGGATAGATCTCTCAGTACGTTAGTGGGGGGAAATGGGGCTGAGAGGGACTGTTAGTCCACCGTTTGATAGGTGTTTGGAGTACGATTGGGGGTATATAAAAGTGTTTAGTGGGTTTTAAGGATAAAGGAAGGGGTTTGGAAAACGAGGATTGGTCTATTTATTAAAATTAGGGTTTTCAGTATTAGCGATTAACAGGAAAATTGCGATAATTTTACAGTTGTTTGCTAATTTTGGGAAGAAAATTAATGTTAATAAGTTGGGGAGTAGAGGATACCATACTTAATGATAATATTCTTTTATTTATTGGCCGAATTGTGGACAAAATTAATTATTTTGCGTAGTACATATATGTATACATATTTACAGAAATATATTTAAAGATATTGACTAGTTTTATGTTCCCTACAGCTCGGAAGGCGAAGTCCTCCTATTTGGTATTAGATATATATGGTAAGATACATCGAATATACAGCGAATGATATATATGAACGATATCATAGTGGAATGTTGTTTTTTGTAATATAACCTTTTTTATTTAAAATAGTTTTTGAAAAAGTGACCAATGTTAAAAAATATATAATTTATGCGGAATAAGCTGACATATATGTAGATTTGAGCTCAAAAGGAGCAGGTTTGGGTTTGATCTCCGGGTCCCGGCATTAACATTTTGGAATTCAAAATCGATAATCACAAAGTCTAAAAATGTGCCTCATGGCAAAATTCTGTAGCTTGAAGATTATGGTTAGTGACTAGGTTATTAACAAATGAAGAGACCTATGTTCAGCAGTGGACAACAACAAGCAGATGCTTTATCTATGAATAAAATAATAATATTATAATAACTGGGAAACAATAATTGGGCCGGTATATGGCAATGGCCGGTATATGGCAATAGGCTCACCCCTATTACATGGGACTTATAACATAAATAGTGAAAAGTGGGTGTTACATTGTACAGTGGCATTAAGAGCCGAAATGTGCACCTCTGCCTACCCCTTTGGTGATAAAAGGCGTGATGTTATGTTATGGTGCAAAAAGCACATGTAATTTTACGTTTTTCACTGTCTACATTTTAGATATAGTATATTATAATCTTGGATTATAATAATCATAATGTCATGTAAGTCATGGTATACCATAGTATCTCTTATGTATTGGCTATGTGCAAAGCGAGTAGTGGCGGACAGATAACGACCGCAGCGCACAACACGGCAGAAATTGGAAACAAATGCGGATGATGCAAACCCGTGTTTTATTATTATATTCATTTTACAGTGAAACTATTGAAAAATTGCACTTAAATAATGCCAACAATACTATTTTATAATCTTTGGTTTTATTTATATTTGCAAAGAAAATTATAATGTTTACATTTACATTGTTATTATTTGACAGCTTCCGCAAATGTTGTAGACGCTACGCGTCGCCACCGTCGCGCACATAGCCAATAGTAGTAATTTTGATTCCATTGGTCACTCTTTTCGAAAACTAAATGTAAAATTCGAATGTTAAAATATAAAATAGTCTAGGAGATTGAAAGTAGTTTTGAAAAACGATGTATGTATTGTATATTTGTCGATTTTTTTTTAGTTTTGATTGAATAATAACGGGTGTTCCTAAATGTAATCTTGATTTTTATATTTCTCTCTTTGGATCTCTTCTTTTTCTGTTTTGTTTCGACTTTTTGTCTGTTAGTAGCATGGATCTGACAATTTTTCTTGTAGTTTCTGGAAGAAAATATGTGAAAATTATTTTTCTTTACGATTTTTTTGTTAAATGAGGCATGATTATCTAGCATGAAAATTACTTTTGAAATGTTTTTTGGACTTTTTCATTCGATTAATGAGTAGTTCCATATTGCATGAAAATTCTTGAAAATAATAAATGAATGTGATTAGCGATTATAATATTGGAATTTAGAAATTAATGTTTAAAGTTATTTATTATTGTAATCAGAATGATTTTTTTAAAGTCTACGAATGCTAAGCGGCAGTTTGTTTTTTGGGTTCGGTTCTCAAGTTAAAGTAGGAATGGGCTTTTTATATTAGAAAGTTATCAACAGCCATACCCAAATAAATTTTTTTGCTTGTGTCTTATACCTACCTCTATTATTATATATATTTTTTTTTATGGCATCAACCGGTAAACGAGCAGACGGATCACCTAATGGTAAGCAATCGGCGTCGCCCATGGACACCTGGAACACCAGAGGCGTTACAAGTGCGTTACCGGCATTTTGGGGATTAGTAGTTTGAGGATCGTTGGGGATTAAGGGATTGGGGAGATAGGGGAAGGGGAGGGTAATTGGGCCTCCGGTAACCTCACTCACACGACGAAACACAATGCAAGCGTTGCTTTACGTCGGTTTTCTGTGAGGCCGTGGTATCACTCTAGTCGAGCCGGCCCATTCGTGCCGAAGCATGGCTCTCCCACATTATACAGGCCTTAAGTTGAAACTACCGTAAATATTTCTGGGTGTTTTTCCAAATAATATGTGTTTTCATTGTTTTCTATAATTTTATCCTATCTGTGACTAAACGGTTTTGAATAAATCTTATTGTTTTTTTGGCTTTACTGTTTTCTGCATTCAATACATAATAAATACAATCTTCCATCTTTCAAATTTTTATGTCAACTTTTCATATGGGGATTTCCTTTTAAATGTAGTTCATGATTTTGTTCCATTTTTCAATGCTCATCAATCATCAATTTCAATGCTCAGGGTCTTTAACATATATTTATATTTTATTTTAACATATATTTTTATATCCTAGGTGTGGAATTAGACACGGGAGCTATCGTGGGCATCGTGGTGGCTGTTCTAATTCTTCTCATAGCCATCTTCCTGGCTGTGTTTGCGTTCGCTACCGACAGATGGTGCTTTGCCGGTAAGTAGCATTTTTTCTTTTATATTTTATTGTGAATTGTTGATATTAATTGGAGCAATTATTTTATAATAGAGATGAGCAATCTTTCGGATAAATAACTCAAAATTTGTATTATAACTTTTCTGAGACATACTGAATAAATTATTATGTTTTCGGCTTACTCACGTAATTATTTGACGAGGAACTCGACTAGTTTTCAGCCATGCTAGAGGCGACCTGCGACGCGGCGACTCTAACTGAGCGCTGCTTCAGCGCGACAGCCGCCGCGTCGCAGGTCGCGAAATGCTGCTCATGAATATGAGCCTCTAGCATAGCTTGAAATTAGTCGAGTTCCTCGTCAAATAATTACGTGATTAAGTCGAAAACATAATAAGATATTGAGTAAATATTGCTACTTTATTCGAGAGTTTAATTGTTTATCCGCTTTTTTGAGTACATACGAATAAATTCTCAACATACCTATATCCATTTTGAGTATTTATTCGAAAAAAATACCCATCTCTGCGTCAAAATAGTATCTTTGATATGGAAAGAATTGAGTTTTTTTTCTTAATTTGCATGTATTTATTATGATGGCATGATTATTAATTGAAATTTTCTTTCATGCATATGATTCTTTTTGATCTAAATTCATGAATGTCTACATTTTTTTTCTTATCTATACATTTTGTTTTTTACAAATATAATTGAAATCGTACTAATACCACGATTTGCTCCATTCATGTTGACGATTCAGTTTAGTCGGTTGCAAAATACAGTTTTTTAAACGACATAGTACAGGAGCCTACAACTATAACATAAACGTCATCACTAGATACAGACGACACGAAATATTAATAAAATGGTATAAAATTACAACTAGTATAAGTTCACCTGTCTGAAGTTCATCGTCTTATCGGTTTTTTAGTGATTACTTAGTCATTAATAGCTTAAATTCATCAACATCTTTGAACTGAAATCTTTGACATTAATTCTATAGAATTTCTGTCAAAACACAGATCGATTAAAAGACTTAACGAATAATCGGTTATTAATTTCAGCTGTTAACGAAAACCTTCAGAGAGGTCAAGATATACTGGTTAATTAAAAAAAATATTTTTTTTTTATTAATATTTCCTATGCATTGTGATTTTTGTCCATGCTTTACAATCGCTTCTATTACAACTATAGGCATGCGTAATTTACTCCTTTTTCCTGTGTTTTATGAACTATTTAATAATAATCATTATTAATAAGCAATTTTCTGGCAGGCTCACGTGCTGTTGGTCGATAGGTAATGTTGAAAAAAAATAGAAAAAAAAATAGTTAAAAAATCACGTTTTCCACTAACTGTTTTCGGCTAGCACTGGTTGAGAAATGAATTAATAGATATATATTTTTGACTAAAATCTTATTTTTTTCATTTTTTAGTACTTAAAAAGGTTTGGCTGCTATAGTACCTAATAGAATTTTTTTCGAAATGAAAGATGCAAAATTGGCAATATATCCGCTTTTTGTGTAGATTATATAAGTTGTTATATTATATTAAGCGAAAAGTATAATCAATATTTTGAGCGATCAAGAACGAAAAAAATAATTGAAAAATGCATGTGTTTTATTTGTTTTATTTTTGTGTATAACAAAACCTTTTATACAAGATTTTGAACGCATGTGAATGATTTATATTAATATATTTTTTTTAAAAAGCATGACTCTTTGTTTAAAAATACTTGAGAATGTTTTTTTGCATGAAATCTGAAATTAGTTACTTTTTCTTTTTATTTCACTTAGGTGGCGAATTTCAAGGTGGTGGTTTCAAAAAATAACACGTGTTCTCACTTATTGTAGTTTTTTGGGCCTTGAGCTTATTTTGGTGTCTAGGGATTTCTTTTTTATGACATTTTAAATTCATATTTGTTTTTCTAACGACTAACAGGTTTTAATTGGTTTTACTCATGAATTTTTTTCAATGGTCATTATAATCATAACATTATTTAACATTTCATTTTCATAACATAAAAATGGGCTTTCGTTTCTCTTACTAGAAGTCATTTAATTGATTTCCAATTATAATTATGGCTTTGGTAATAAACACTTCCAATCAGCAAATAGTTCGTATGTATTACGAAGCTGTTTGCTTTAAACATGCGCATTATTATTACCGAAACGAGATAGAAAATCTTCAAGGATATGAAGTAATAGCATTCAATAAAAACTTTATTCTTGGCACAAAAAGCCTAAGAATTGAAATTGGTTATTATCGATTTCTTTTAAGAATAACATAGATTTGAGATAAATTAATATTATCTGTATAATATTCAATATACATATTATATCGTCTGTTGTTCTTCTAAACGATAGACAGAACTATTTCGATTATTATTATTTCATCGTTGAGACATTTTCCAAAAACATAAGACACTTATTGTGTTGTCTACGATCTAGAAATAAAACATATAAAACTAGACACTTATGAACATCATAGTTATGTCTACGTCTCAAATATCAATATTACTCTAATCACAAACCAAAAAAACAAGTTAAAGGCCCAAGAAATCACTCACAAATCACACACACGAACGTTTGTCCGAAGCACTGCACATACACGGCTTTTTTAATTAAAAAAATTCAGTTTCTTGATCGCTTAATGTATTGTACGGCAGGACGGTCGCATCGCACTGACATTCCTGATGGGGCTGATTCGGAGGCCCCTCTACCGTCTCATGATGACATCAAGGGCTCTGAGAACCCCTCTCACGACCACGGTGACTATATCAGCAATGGCGATACCAAGCATCCGGAAAAAAAGCCGGACACGGCCGTTTAAGCGTAAGTCAGGTTTCTGTCACGCGGTGAAACTCGGTATTTTATTAAATTTTTTTTTTTGGAAAACATATAACGGAACTTGGTTTTTTTATAAATAAATCTGGCCCGGCCCGGCCTGATAGTAAGCGGTTACTGTAATGTTTTTTTGGTTGTATAAAGTCATTGTCTTGCCAAAATTTTGTTGATGTTTTTCTCGCTATTTAGTTTAAATAATGTGTTTCGTAGATATTTTAATAGATATCTAGTGGAAAACATAGAAAAATTTACTTGTTTTTTTGTCTTGCAAGTCAAAAAATTGGAAAAAATATTTGATGTTCTTAAAATATTAAGCCTTTTTATATTTTAATTTTTTCGAGTTTCACCGATTAAATTCACGATAATTCAATTGTTTAAGTGACAGTTACATTATTTGGACTTATGGTTTTATCAGTGACGTCAGTGCCACACGTGTTTAAAAATTGTTACTTATTAATAAATATTGTATTTAAAAATAAAAAATGTATGCAATTTTTAATAATAAAAATTCTAAAATATTAAGGAAATTTTGAAAGAAATTATTATATTAGATAAAGAAGTCAACCCGTTTAGAAGTCCCGTGACATAGAATATGTCTACTGACTTCTAGCTAATATAATTTTAAAGTATGACACTATAAAATAACTACGTGACGTAAAGACTTGCCGAACATTCCGAGATATTTTTGACTGTTTTTTTGAAAATATTAACTGATATATATATGCCAGCGACTTCTAAATGGGTTATCGAAAATTTAGATTAGCACATTTGTAATTTGAGGAAAAACATATGTACGTGTAAACCTAAATAAACTTTTCGATATTACAGGTTATTAAACGTTGCACTCGAGAAAAAAGGATTTATTTGACATTCTTAATTGTAATTTTAACGCTTGCTTAATGAATATTTGACATTTTTTTTTTATAAATGGTGTCGATTTTTTTTCTCGTCTGCAATTGTGACAATTTTAAAGTGTTTTATAGGTTTATACATGTTCGCCTAAGAATCTCGTAAACGATGTAAAATAATAATCCTTTCGAAATATTATACATATATTTGTGTAACAACGAAATCCCAACGCGTAAATTTAAGACATTTTTATTAAATATAAAAAAAAAATAGGAAAAATACGACGACCATTGTTCGGAGCACCATATTATTTTTTTGGAAAAATCTCTTTTAAATCGAGACTTATTTTAACTTAAATTACTTAAGTAATATGTTACAAAACATTTTCGTTTTTTTAATAGGTTTTTATTGAATTTTCGAATGATTTCATTTAGTTTTAAGTAAGGTAAAGATACCAATAATTGACCATGATTCTTCTTGTGGCTAATAATTGGATATTTTACCTTTATATATAAGTTAAAAATGTGTTCGTACCACCATTAATATTGTGTATATATTATGTAGTATTCAAGTAATGATTTACTAATAAGTTAAATAACAATTTACCAGCTCTACTTCACACTGGTACATTTACAAATCTCATACTACTTAACAATTAACGTTTAAAATGCAATCTTAATAAAATTGTACAATTTGATACAATATTAAATATTTTTCTTTTCTATTTTGTAATATTTAGTTCAATAAGTCACCTCGATTGTGATTTTAAGTATTTGTAATTAAAAATTGTTAGTTAAGAAATTATTTTTGTACCAATTTAGTTCTTAATGTATTTTTAATTAGCAGTTTTAACAGAATAAGGTTGAATAGTTGTAACAAACTAAGGACACTGCCATTTTGCACATATTTGCCAAAATATTGCGTCTTTTCAATCTGTAAGCTCAAATTATGTTTAAGCTTCTATTTTTTCGAATGTCAGCCGAATTTTTCACTAAAACTGCATACGACAGAACGAGGAAATTAAAAATATCAATTTTTACTAAAATAAAATCACTAAAATGCCTTTCCTTAATAAAATTTAGGCATTTTTTTAGTACGAAAGTTTTATCGTGTATTTCTTGTGATGTCGTATGTTGATTTTTTATGGGATTCAATAATTTTGTATTGTCACTAAATAAATATCAATCAATGTCTATAAGTAAACGGTTATGACTAAATATTATTGAAATATAAAGTATTTATTAAATAAGAATTTTGATGTTTCATTTTTATAGTTTATTTCTTAACCAGTTGCTACTACAGTCAAAGATTTGTTATGATTTTTAGCATGAAAACTCCAAATGTTAAGACAAACTAGAACTACTAATTAACTCATTGGATGCCGTGTCACGATGATGTCCGACGTTAGCGGAGGATTGGCCCTTAACCGTTTTTGTCGGCAGTGAAAGACTTAATGAACATAGTAACATTATTTTTGTTATATTTATTTCATTAGGACTTATGATAAGAGTACCTACAAAAGTATGTACAGTTACAGGTCAAAAGTCCTCTGCCACCGTGAGTGATGTTCATACGGCAATTCGTAAGTAATTTCTTAATAATGTGCATAAAATCGCGTGCGTACGCATAAACACACGCACGCGTACGCACACGGCTACAAATATGCATGTGTATGTCTGTATAAGCGCTGCAACGCAACCGATAGTAGTCTTACGGTGGCAGTGGACTTTTGACCTTTGACCGTACCTACATAACTAATTTGACGTCATCATCATCAACAGCCTATAAATGCCCACTGCTGAGCAAAGCCTCTTCTCACACGGAGAAGGTTAGAGCGTTAATCACCACGCTTGCTCAATGCGGGCTAATTTGACGTACCTAATGAAGATACAAAATTATACAACAAAAAATTAATAGAAATGTTTTATCAAATTCTGATTCTTCTTATGCGGTGCCACGATATGATTAGTCTACTAATCTAGTATTCATTCTGGGCGCTCTTGTTTGGGTATGGGACACACGACCAACAACCGACGAGTGAATTAAGGAATAAGGAGGTAAAAGAAATGAATTTCGCTTGCCTGTAGATATATATTTATTGTAAATTAATAATCCTTAAAATTACTTACTATACATATCAAATTGTTAGTTACAGCCTTTGATTATATAATGTCTAGATGGAGTGTCAGTTCACGAAAAGGGGCACAATTTGCAGTGAACTGTTCACTGCAATGCATTTTCCCGTCAAATAGCACCAAATGTGTCACCTAGGCGTCACTACGTGCATGCACGCTACAAAATAAATTTGTAAACAAAAAAGAACACTACAAAGATGGCCACATGCTTCATAAAATTGTGCTAAAATTATAAATGACGGTTAAAACGTACTAAACAGATCACTTATCCATCGCTAAGTAATTAAAAATTACATTGTTTTTTGACCTGACTAATTGCCGCCATATTTTATCAGTGTTGCCAATTTATTCTTCAATATTCCCTTCTCATGAGTCTGATAAAGAGGGAAAAATTGCTGCGTGTAAACCACAAGCCTCACGCACACATGCAAGAAGTATTGGAACGTCATTTGTGTTCCTATTGTATGGTGACGCTCTATCTAGTCTATTGGGAACTTATTAATATTTCCGGATTTAAATAACAATTATAATGATATATAAAACACTTTTTATTCTATCGAGAACCAATCTCACACAACTCACAAAAGTCAGAAAAGAAAAAAAACAAAATCCATGCAAACCATAGATGGCAGCAAAGAGTATACAATACTCTATAAATATATTAGTACAATTTATAACTTAGCATAGTCATTACATAATCAAAGGTTAGAACATGTCTTGTGCTAAAAAACAATACTTGATTTTAAAGTGTTGTATAAGTCACCCATGATGCAGGAAATTATTAGTCTAGGGTATTTTTTTTTTGCAGCTGAGTCTGTAAACAGTGTTGTCGACTATACTGCCAGTGTCACGTGGTGACGGCAGAGGGTAACATTATTAAAGCTATATTGACATATGTTGCTCCTTGAAGGTCAATGATACAATGGCTTAATGAACCTTACACAATATGAAATCGTATCGAAATAAAATTGGTGTTATTTATTTCTTTACATACGAATTACTAAGGTTTTTATAAAATCTTACATTTACAGGTAGAAGACAGGAGAGGAAAAGTTCCGGCGAATCGTAAGTGTTTATTTATTTTATATATTAACTAATTACATGTATAAATTGTGTTTATATATTTCGTATTTTGTGTAAATAAATATAAAGTCTTTTTTACAAATATTTGTATTTTGTAGTATATATATCTTAAAACTTGGATTTCTTTTAACTGTGCTAACTTTTGTAATTTATTTTGAATTATTCATTGTATAAAATAAAATGGAAAAAACATCATCAATTTTTTTCTACAGCGAAACAAAATTTCTGGGTTACTGTAAACCTAAAAATATTGTTTCGGTCGTCCAATTGCAAACACAAAATATTGTTTTTCAAAATTGTTGCCATATACAAAAATATTTTTTCCCGCAAGGACGCCGGCCGGGGATGTGCTTTTAGAGTCTGGCAACCCGCTTCCTAGAACGTACGTCTAACAATAATTGGAAATAGCTTCGCTTTACTACATAAATAAAAACTATTCCTAGTAAAATACTTGAACCCAAAATGAAGTATGAAAAATTAAATTCATTAAACTAATTTCACAAATACTTCAATCTATAGATATATATAAGAAAGTCGTGTTAATTATAATGTATAACTGAAAAACGGCTAAATCGATTTGGTTGAAAATTGGCGAAGAGGTAGCTTACAACCAGGAGACGGACATATAATACTTTTTATCCAATTCCTTTTTTATATTTTACCGAAAATCATGTACGGGGAACAGGAAAAAAACGGGATAGCGCATACGAAGTCGCGGACGGAAGCCAGTAATAAATAAAAAAGTTTTTTTTTTATAGAATAGGAGGCAAAGTTAAATTTACTTCCTACTTAATGTTGGCATGTATAATTTTTGCGTTTCCTAGAGGGAGCCTCCTTACGTCCGATACTTATATGCTGAATTAGCAGCTTTCATTTTGGGTTGAAGTAGATCGTTTGTATCATAGTAGATGCTGTATTTTTTGTCACTAGTAACACATTTTAGCTTTTTATATCTTAAGTAGTACATTGGTAGCGGGTGTGTGTATTATTTACTGTATACCTATATATTATAATATATTAATCAGTATATGCAGCTACCAGTGGCGTGCACAGGTTTTCGAGACAGGGTAGGCAATTAAATATGGTATGATTAAACCCCCCCCCCCCCCCCCCCCCCCCCCCC